TTATATATATATATTATATATATTATATATATATGTATATATATATATATATATATATATATATATATATATATATATATGTATGTATGTATGTATATATATATGTATATATATATTTAATATTTCTTAAATTATCCAAAATATTCCATTAGATTATACGAAAATTTCAAAATGTATTATTTGCTAATGAATTTTCATTTCATCAAAACATAAGAAGATCACGCTAAATTATATTTAAATTTTTTTTAAAAAATGAATTTGTCTTACTTTCGACTACTAGGCAATTTCATATAATTTATTTCATTCGTTTCATTATTAAATATACTAATAATATTAATAATGTCTATATAACTTTCGATAGATAATTATTCTATTCAACGAATTTTCTAATCATTTGTCTATATTACAAGTTCGAAATTGAAAAATTTTATTGAAACTAAGATTATTATTATTATTTCTTAAATTTAAAAATGATATTATATTATATTATATTATATCTAAATATATTATAAAATATGAATTATTGTAACAAAATAATAAAATAAAATATGAATTATTATGATAAATAATTATTTTTTATCTATATAATTTATCTACATAAAAGAAGAAAGAAAATATATTTTATGAAGAAAATATGGAAGAAACGACCAGCACAAGTACATCATCGAAAAAAATAAAGCGAGAAATTGATGATAATCAACTTTTTAAAACGACATTAAGCAGCTCATATCAAGAAGTGGACGAATATGATAAATTTGGCCAATATGTAGCCTTAGAATTAAAAACTTTAAAATCTGATTTTAATAAAGCAAGATTAAAAAGTGAAATAAGAAAAATAATAGTTCAGATTGCGGATGAAGATTTGTACGATAGTATAAATCCTTTGTCATCTTCTATGTCAATGCCATCTCCTTAATTAGCATGCAATTTTATAAAAAAATTTACATATATATCAATAATGATTTACATATATGAATTACATGATGAATTACATATATAATTTAATAATGAAAAGTATTTTTCTTAGACAATAATACAATTTAGATCAATTATTTTGTTTTTTTTTGTTTTTCTTTTTCAAATATATTGTTATTATCTCAGATCTTGTAATAAATATGTTATTATTTTTGTATAAAATTGTATAAAATATAATATATGAAACTTATAACGTTTAATAATCTGATTCAATTATTAATCATTTGCACGTCCATATCGCACAAATGAAAACAATAATAGAAACAATTGATTCAGTATTTAATCGATACCCTATATAGTACGATGTATCCGGTACATAGGGTAATGACAGAATGTCTATTTTGTTTTGCTCACGAAACTCATTGACCTTGAATTCTCCATTAAAGTCAATGTTCGTAACAATTTTATAACTAATAATAAGAATTAAGAATAAGAATTAAGTTTTTACATATACACAATCAATATTTCATTTCTTTTTATTTTTCTCTTTTTTCAAAAGAAAAATCGTGTCTACATCAAAAATCGAGCACAAATGATTTTTACAGTTGTGAAAAATTCCATTTGATAATAAATTTTTGACAAGTTTTTTAATACATGTATCTAAGAATAAAAATTCTTGCAATTGTTCTGAATTAGATATACATATTCGCGCGACTATATCAAATGAACATATACCTTAAGGTTTAACGTTCTTTTAACGTGAGCATCGAACGCTCATGTAATGTAATAAATATTATAGAAAAAACGGTAAGTATTTATTTAACGATTACATTTTTTAAAATAAATATAAATGAAATTATATATTTTATTTATGAAATTATATATTTATGTATTAAGAATGATAAAGAATGATAAGAAACATTAAAAAGGAAAAATTTAATATCATTGGTTTAAAAAAAAAATATTTTTAGTTTCAAATCTATAATATGTATCTATTCATTGTTAGATTTAATTATTATTAGATAATTTCTTTATGTCTTATATTTAACTCAATATTTTTCTTTTTTAACTCAAGATATAAAAATTAGATATAATCTTTGAATAAATTTTGTTCAGTAAATATTACAATAAAATTTAATTTTTAATTTTCTTTTCAAAATTAAAAAAAATATATTGTAATTATATTTATTAAAGAATTTTTTGGACATAATAAACAAAATTTAAAATATTTGCATTCAATTTTAAATTATTTACAATTTCACAGTGCTAATTATGCACAGAAAAATATTGTTCTGAGAATATGAAGATAAAATTTATAAGAATTGAAAGGCAAAAATAGATTTGATTTTTACATTTTTATAATCTTATACTATACTACATATTAAAAAATACTTATCGTTTATTCAAATTCTTATTCAATACTTCAAACATATTAATAATAAAAAATAATTATTAAAAAATTTTTATAACTAAAAATATACTTACTCATCAGGATACTTATTGCTGCACATTACATGTAAATCAATTTGTGCATATACTTTAGCTGGTCCTGACATGCCTTTTTGAGGCATCAAACTAATTAGTATGTCTAATGGTTGCCATTTTCGTCTATTCTTTTCATGGCGTAAATCACACAATTCATCTCCAAAGATGCTCTGTAAAAAAAAAAATATTAATTTATTGAATGTTTACAAATGTATATCTACATTATTAAAAAGATTATATTATTTCATAAAAGTATGTAAATTATTGAATTTAACATAAAGATTATTAAAAATATTTTAAAATATAT